TACTAGTCACTTTCTGACCCACAATTCACCATAAAAACTGCTGTTGCAGCACACAAAAAGGTCCTCACGACCTATAGTTTCACAATGATCAGTCGACCCCACAAAAAAGGAAAGAAAGAGGTGCTGATCACCTCACATCCAATCGGCAGACCTAGTACAGGTTCTGCCCTGGCACACGACCAGAAAAAAGGTAAGAGAGAGAGAGAAAGGTTATTTCAATGTGTGAGATCTTCAATCAGCCGAACAGCAGATGAGGGCGGCAGATCTGGAAATCTGGTGCAAAGAAGAAAAAAAAAGACTGCTCGCTCGACTTCTCCTTTCAGATCTGGTAGTCCTGCTATGCAGGAGAGAGAAGAAGAGAGAAGAGAGAACTGAGAGCAAAAAGATTACTGCTGGCGGTGCAGCTTTTTAATATATATACCAGGGCAACAACAACTAAAATAAAAAGGAGTAAAAGTACAATAGTACCCCTGCGGTACTATACGTAGGAAAAAATAACAGCTGTTAACAAGGTGTTTGGTTGGTTGTCCTGGGGTTTCAGATTGGCGATTTAGGAGTGAGTGGGTGGTGGTTATAAGATTTTGGGTTGTGAGGTGTTTGTTTTCTATCTTTTTTGGATTGATGTTGTCTTGTTTCTTAGGGCAAGTGTTGTATTTTGTTGGATTGGAATTGGGGTTTTGTTGGGGCGTTGCTTCTTTTTTCCTTTGGGTGATTTCTTATCACCTTCCTTGTACTTTGTTTTTAAAAAAACTATGTATATGTACACATTTACATTACTTCTTTGTGCATGATTTGTGTGTGTGCATGGAAGGGATATCTGTGTAAAAACCTTATAATAATTTTATTATTTTGCCTTTGCCTCTGCATATGTTGCATCATATTTTACTTCTCCATGCCAAATTGGTCAGGGATCTACAAATGTATTCCTCCTCTTTTAACATTTTTTTTGTTTGCATAGGGCATTTTTTTAACTATTTTCTGGATTTTGGTCTCAAATGTAAAGTCCTGATATATGAACCATAATTGTTTGGACTTGCAGTATCTCATATTTCTTTTCTTCCAATTTGGCAGAACCATACTATGTGGGTGATCCTATAGTGCAGAGTTCTCACAGCATACCAAGTGTTTGCAAGGATCCTACTCTTGGAACGGTAAGTGTGACTTTGAAGTTTGAATCAAATTCTTCATCTCCGCTGATATGATGTATAAGTATTTTTCAATGTTATATTTATGCCTATGTTATGCACAAATTAAGAATGGTACTACAACTTCTCTTTATTTTGAATGTCAGTCATGCTATATGGAGGTGAATTTGTTTGGGCTTATTAACTGTATGCTATGATCAAGCATATCATATAATAAACTTTACTAAATATGTAAAACCAAACTAATACAGTACCTCGTGTGGAGGCAGCCATGGCATTTGACAGATAATTGGATTAAGGAGGTTGTTAATAATTTAATCACCAGGATACAATAGTGGGGAGTAAAAGGGAGGAGTCAGATTCACAGTGTCCTTGGGAAATAAGAAGTGAGTCATTGAAGGATAATGAGTCGGTGCTCCGATGATCCACTAAGGGAATGGGAGAGGGGCTGGGAGAAGGAAAGAAGTGGTGTTGAGAGTTGATGTCAGCAAGGTGGGAAAGATGGAGAGAATGATGATGTTATGTGCCAGCCCGGTGGGGAGGTTTTGTTGGGCAGGAAATGGATACAGAGAAAGTGGAAGCCTGGGCAAGACTTGAATGGGGTCACGAACTCACAATAAGATTATGGGGGTTAGAAAGATGCACGTTGGGCTTTACCTCTTCATGTTTCACTGTAGGGAGTGGGCTGAGAATATGCTAGAAGCAGAGAGAAGGTTAAGGAGAAGCTTTGATCTCAGACGGGGATGGTGGTTTCTTGCAACTGGAGCTCTGAGCGAAGAAAGGAAGAGGAGGAAAAGGGCAGTATAGATAGCGTGGTTGAAATACCCCTTCATGCATTGAGTATAGTCACTCTCGATGAGATAGGTGGTCGTTGCGGAAGGTTCCTGAAAATAGATGACTAAAACAGAAGTTGGGAGAGGTTTGACATGGCCAGGATTTTAGTAGAAGTGGAGGTCGCAGGGGTTCCAGACAGGATGAAGTTAATCTTTGCTGAGGAACGCTACAACCTCAGATTAATTGTGGAAGGAGAAGATGGAACCTACCTGGAATCGCTCAAAGAGAATAATGGGAGCAGAGACGAGGCTGGAAGTCCAGAGAACGGGATTGACAGCAGAGACGGAGCCCACAGCGAGAGTGGTAATTAGGAGACGAAGAGTCGTTCAAAGGTTGGCAAAGATGCAGAGGTGGAGGGGATGGGGGGTAGTTTTGAGATTTCACAAGAACTAAGAGAAGGAATTTGGAACAAGAAGGGACACATGGGAGGGGAGTTGGAGGGGAGAGTAGAAACTCAATCGATGCGGGACATAGAAAAGGAAGAAGGTTTATCAGGGAGGGCAAAAGAAACCTCAGCCAATTTAGGTGCTATTGGGACCTGCAGTAAGAGTCCAAGGGGAGGGAAAATTTTGACATAGCCATGCATCGATTGGGCTGGGGGTCAGGAGGGGGAGGGGCAGAATAGGAAAAATGTCATTAAAAAGGGATAGACTGAAAAACTCGATTAAAAGGTTGAGGAATTTGAAAAGGGGAAGTGATGATTGGTTATGGGTAATAGCAAGATGCAGGGGGAGATACGAAGAAGGTGGAGTTCCGGTCAAGAAATGGTTTGACAGCGATTGCTGGCAAAGCAAAAGATGGCTACTCAGGCAGTGGATCATGTAAGGAATCTAAAAACAACCAAAGGGAGGGAGTTGAAGGTACCAATTACAAGTGAAAAGCTGAGTCCAACGCTGTTTCTTCCCATCTCTGTAAGCGCACAATCCGCTTCACCACAACAGCAGGCGTTTGCAGGTCAGGCAGATACAGCTGATGGTACAAAGTCTACACAGGTACATGACTGTATTGGACCCAGTGGAGAGGTTAGTATCCTCAACTATAAGGGATCTCCGTTGGAGAGGGCGGCGAATGGGGCTCGTCCAGAGTTTCCTTCCTGTAGCCAGATTGGTGAAGTGGGGGTGGAAAAGAGGAAGAGGAAAGCTGTAGAGGAGGTAGGGACTAGGGAGAGACAGTGAGAAGAATTTGGCCTATAAAAGGAAAAGAAGGGTTGGGGACATTGACTCTGGTGTGGAAGGGAAAGAGAGGGAGGTAGAGGACAAACAGGGAGGGGAAAGAGTGACAGGAGGGGCAAAAAGGCAAGGGGATAAAAAAAAGGGGAAAAGAGTAGAACCACGGAGGAGGTGATTGACACAATCAAAATTAAAGTAGCCTAGGGCTGTTCATAAGAATGCCCAACCCGACCAAACCGACCAACCCGGACCAACCCAACCCGAGTTGGCCGGGTTTTCATCAGTACCAGTCGGTTTCGGTTTTCTTGTGTGAAAACCGAAACCAACCCGACCCGAACCGAACTAGTATTCTACTAGTTCGGTAGTTCCTAGTTTGAGTAGTTTCCTACTTAACTATAACTAGTCTTCTACTAGAATAGAAGGCCCATTAGGCAATTACAATTAGAATAGGCAATCTATCATAGTTTCTAACTTTCTATAGTCTTTTACACCAAATAGGCAACCCATTAGGCAATTACAATTAGAATTCAATTAGGTGTCCTTTTGTACAGGAGCAAAACCGAAACCGACCCAACCCGACTCAAACCGACTAGGTCGGTTTGGCCTATCAGTGGGTCGGTTTCAGTTTCCACCTCAGGTAATCCGACCAGGTTGGGTCGGTTGGGAAAACCCCAATAAACCGACCCAACCCAACCCGTGAACACCCCTAAAGTAGCCCATTGGGTAAGCTCTTTGCATATCTTCCAGGAGTTCTCAGTTACAGACATTATATGATCCTGGACAGAAGTAGCACAATCTTCAAGAGTGAAAGAGAGAGTAAGGACGGAATGGAAACCCCCAGATGGTAACAAAATTAAACTGAATTTTGATGGAAGTTCATTTGGAAATCTAGGATTGTCAGGTCTTGGGGGAGTAATCAGAAATTCTGAAGGGAGGATATTAGCATTATTCTCTGGACCTATTTGGCATGGGCAACTCTCTAAAAGCTGAGGTAATGGCTTTGCTACAAGGATTGAAGATAGTCAAGCAACTTGGAATGAGGCAAATTGAGGTTGAAAGGGATTCCAAGGTGATCATCTCTTGGGCTAATAACAATAGAACTACTCCGTGGACCTTCAAACAAGTGATAAGGGAAGTGGAAAAGGTTGCAAGGGAGGTAGTGGCAGAATTCAAATGGGTTAGAAGGAGTGCAAATGAGCTTAGCTGATCATCTTGCTAAACAAGGGGCTTTGAGGCAACAATTGTTTTGGGCTGCATTGTAAAAGGGACGGAAATATGTAATCGTATGGGACTTCTAGTCCCATACACAAAGTTGTAAAACTTCTTAAATCTAATTTCAAATGAAAGTTTCCTTTGATGATAAAAAAAATAAAAAATAAAAATAAGGGAAAATAAGGGTGAGGTGGGGATGATAAGTACCTTGGTAGAAAAGGAGTTGTCAGTGGGGAAGTCGCTGGGTTTGTTTTTCTGTGGAGGGGAAGAGTTCGCAAGGAATGCTTTTGAAAAGTTCGAGAAAAAACAGAAGAGAGGAGAGGAAGAAAGAGGAAGACCGTCCTAAGAACAGTGACTGGGACAAAGAAGGGGGGGAGAGGAGGAGTTTCTGGGGGAGGAATGTGAGGAGTAGGGTTTTAGTCTGATATAAAGGTAGGCAGGATCTTCAGGACGAGGGTGGTGAGTTGGAGTTTTAGGGGTTTGAGATAGAAGAATCAGATTAGAAGTGGTCAGGTTTGTGCTCAGTCGCAGTGATCCTGAGTCAGTCCGTTGTCTGGAAGGCTATTCCAAAAGTTTGAGCTGCTGGTGGCTTCAGTAGATCATCATGTCTTGGAGTGGATTATTCCGATTCCTGAGTTGAGAAGATAAGCAGGACAGTTGTGGGGAATTTTTGGCGTGTGATGGAGTTTCAGATATATATCAGTCTATAGTGGCCTTTTTTTGTTGTAGTCGTTGGTTTTTACTCTTCAAGAAAAGAAAGTCACTGAATGAAACGTATACATTGTTTAAATTGTTTTATTTAATTTACAGTTTTTTTTTTTATGGAAGACGGCTGGAACTACAAGTGTTTATTTATTTCTTGTGTTCCTTTTTATTGACATCCAAGCATATCTTCTTTCAATTTTTACTATCACATTATGCATAGATTCTGCTACTGTTTCCGCCAATGTTTCTTCTTCCTTTTTTTTATGAGTAATGTTTTTTCCTCCTATTTTTAATCTCTCTTCCCCTCAATCCCTCTTGTATTTTGCTGTATGTTTTAAAATAAAATATTACATTTAGAATTTTAGATAACAATTCAGTCATTACCCTGATCATTTTTATTATGAACTTGAACTTTCATGTCCTTTCTGGGTTTTTCCCCAGATTGTTCAGCTGGCAAAAAGTATAATTTCAAATCAATTCTAGAATAATTTTCCAAATGATCATGTTACAGGTATCTAGGTATCAACGGGTACAGGTTAGACTTTTCTCAATCAGTTGCTACTCCCTTTCCAATGTATGGGAATCGATATATTAGTGCACAGCTTTTCATGATTTGTGTTGGTTGATATCTATCCCATCTTACTTTTATTTTGGGGCTCAAATTTGTGATTGTATTTTGTTCATAGTTCTGGTTTCAGATTTGGGGCTTGGTCCTTCTACTTGGGAGGTCCTGCTTGTTATGTATGCTATTTTTTTCGTTGCCTTGTGATTCATAAAAATATGTGTGCTGTTTCCAAGTAGAAACAGAAGATGAAGAAGAATAGTCAGTTTAAATTTGGTGGGATTCTAAATGGTCTTCTTTTGAAAGAAGTAATGTGAAAAAGTAACTCAACTTGAATTGGACCTGGCCACCAGACCATTTTCACCAACTGAACTAAGCTTTACCCAACTTACGTGAGGTCAGCTAAAGGAACCCTATTTTTCCATTCCAGTCAATAAGGTCTCTATCTTCCACCAAACTGCAAGTCCTTGAATTATTTATCAGTAGAATGAAATTTTATTAATGTAACTTGAAAATTACAAAAGGGTGGGTGTAAAATTCACCCTAGCAGTAGAAAGAGTTTATAAATTTGCCCAAAACAAATGTTCTCTTAAAGCCCTTGCTTTATTCTCTTATTAGTATTACTTGAACTGACAAGCTTTTTGAACTCCTCATTCCCTCTTTAGACATTAGAGCAGTGTTGCATGGACTTGGGCACAGGAATCAGATTTAGATGCTTGTCTCTCTTGGAGTATGACTTGGCAAGCCCTGAAAACAAGGATGCTTGGACTGAATTCAACTCAATAAAGCCTTATCCCAAACTGTATGGAGTCAGCTACATGAGTCCTGTTTTTCCATTCCACTCTATCAAGGGTCATACTTAACAAAATTTTTGGTATTTATATTTAGAACTTGTTTTATCATTGCGATTATTTTTCTTCTCTACTTAGATGGATCTGTTTTAGTTACCTGTTATCATAGTTTTCAAGGTGCCAAGGCGGCGGGCGCCTAGGCGATGGATTTTTTTTAAATAAAACCATATATCCTAGGGTAGTTCCCTAGGTTCCATAACCATCTTTCCTTAATAATTATTCATAATTTTCATAAGAGAAGTATAAATTTCATGTTCAAGTCTAGAAAGTCAACATTTTATGAGAAGAAAAAGAACAAAGTAAAGAAAAATCAAAAAATATAGGGGCTGAACCCCTACTTTTGTTATAGGAAAGAAGAAGAAAAGGTGGAGAAAGAAGAAGATGTGGAAGAAGAAAATGTTTAAGTTCCTCCCTTGCTTATTGGTTCAGGTTTTGAAAACTTTGAGGGTTCAATCAAGGATCAAAATTCCGATTCGATACGCTCCGTATCAGGTGTATTGTATTGTATATTTGGGGTCCCGATACCTGTTTACAGGTGTTTTTGGGGACCCATTTTTTTAAATAATATATATATATATATTAAAATGAAATTGAAAACCAAAGAAATAAAAAAAATAGGGGGAGTATCATTATAAGTACTGATATACATCTGCCAATACACAGAAGTGTATCGATACTTTGAACCATGGGTTCAATACAGCAGTTAGCAATGTTTGCGTTGATTAAACCCTAACAAAATAAGAAAATAATAAAAAGAAGTTAGTATATAAACATATAAAATGAATATTCTAGTTTAATAATGTCTATTTTATAATTATAATGTCAAAAAATTAAAAATATAAAAGTATTTTATAACCCAGTGCACAAAACTGTTTGGCGACTGGGCGAGGTGAGCCTCCAAGGGCGCCTTGTCGCCTAGGTGTTGCCTTGACAACTATGCCTGTTATCAACATAGGTAGAGGAGCATGGATACTGATGCAAGGGTAAAACATCCAAAGACCCAGATTGCGTAATGTACTTGCAGAGAAGCATAAACACACACACAATCATCAAGTGTACCCATGTTATTTTCTCCATGCAAGGCCAATTTTATAAGACAAGGCTTACCAGTTGTAGACATGTAGTTTCCATGCTTTTACAAGAGTAGAGACAAACATGTAGGGCCCTCATCTTATCATGTTAGTTTTGCAGCCATTATAAAAGAGAAGAATGATGCATCATTATTACCTTAATCTTGTCCAAGTATTACATGGAGACAATTTCTCTCAGTTACAAATAAAGAATACATGAGACAGACTACAGAGAAGAGGTCTCTGCCTAGCAACATGCCAACGTAGCTAAGATCATAGGACGACTCCTCCAATTAAGTAATAGACTAGTACAGGCTACTCTGCTCATTTGTTCATACATCAGTGTTAGAGCAGAAGTCCATTCTTTTCTCTTTGCAACTAATAGGGCACGTGGCATCCCTACTGTAACAGAAAAGATTTCCCCCCCCCCCCCCCCMAAAAAAAAAAAAAAAAAAAAGAAAGAAAAACACATCTTCGTGCTTGTAAAGGGGTATCTATCTCTTTCTTGTGTCCGTTAGCTGGGTGGGATGATTGAAATAGAAGTGATTAGACTAGTCCTATTTAGGTATTCAGGATACACTTTAATAATCTGATAGTAAAGTATTGCTGGATGCTGCTTCTGTTGGACTGTATAGAAGTAAGTTGTGTTGTTGACAAGAGGTTCTCTTGTCAGAAAGACTAACTAATGGAGCTACTTGTGGATTTTATGGAAGCAAATTAAATGTTTCATTAATTTTTTTATGTTATGGAAGTAAACTTTTGTCATCTGTACTGGTCTTATCTTCTTTTCAATTGTATCATAAACCATCTTGATACATTGTTCATATTTTCTTGTTTTATGATTTTGTTTTTCTTCACATATGTAGATGACTGATGTCTCACCCCTCCCCTCCTTTCAGAGGTATGACAGATACAACTCCATGATGCATACTCAAGGCTCATATCCAGAAGGAGCATGTCTTAGAAGAACCATGTTAGACCATCGGGATGAATTTTCTAGTTTCCCATCAAAGCGAAAGTCTTCATTCACCAGTTGCAGCAATCGTGCCCCTGATAAGAACTCCATGTATATGGATGGAGATTCCATTGAGGAAACCTCTATGCTTAACATCAGCAGGAACTGTGGAGCAAGGTCTAAGCATTCTGTTCAAGGGATAAGATCAGATGCCCTTGCCAATGATCTACCACATGTTTATGGTGGAAAACTTATTGCCAGTGAACCTTTCTATCCTCAGTTACATAAATGTGATGACTCTACTAACCCACATTTGTTCCAGAGGAATGATTACATTGGGTCTAAATCTTCTAATTTGGTACTTACGCACAGTGGGTCTCTTGATACAGAGGAAAGAGGAAAGTCTGGAAGGATGGCAAAGGTTTGAGTACTTGACAATTTATGCTATGCAGTATGTCTACTTGTAATCAATTCCGGATTGGAAAGCTGGTTTATAATTGAATCTATGGTGTTCTATGTGTAGGGTGAGAAGCTTTATAGGGAGAGAACAAGTAAGGAGTATGCCAATCCAGTTAAAGTCAGGATGCAACCAGAAAATGAAATAAGAGTGAGTTTCTGCTATTGTTAGTATTCCAGGATTCTGAATTTCTTTTCTCTTTTTCTGATGTTTGCTTTGATTATTTGAAGATCGGGAGGAGAATGAGAGGTCATGAACTTATTCCACGGGATTATGCATCTAAAACACCATCTCCTCAGGAATTACTGTCATGGACAAACCACATGAAAGGGTTAGTATCCAAACCAAAGGCGCTAAGCTGGCCTCATCATATGATTATATGAATACAAGTAGTTGCAATATCACCATGCTTGTAATATGTCCATCTTTTTTCATCTGTTACTCTTGGAAGTATGCTAGATGTAGATTTAGTTAATCAAATAATAAGGCGTTATGGTTAAGAACATGGAAAGAAACTCGGGTCATGGTACTGGCCCACTGTGGTGTCTGTCCATCCTCTGTATTTTGTTCAAGTCTTAAGACTTGAGTTGTTGGACGTGCTGAGGATGGGAGGTCCTATTGAATGGTGGAAGACCAGGCTTTCTACGTTTCAGCTGTCTTCTTTTAACTAGAAATTGTCTTGAGACTTGAAGAATGTTCCTATTCTTTTTGCTGATTATAAATGGATCAAAAAAATAAAATAAAATAACTCGGGTCATGGTTGTTGCACAACAAAGAATATTTAATTTTTAAACTTATTGCAGTTTGGTTGATGCCCTCTGCCAAGTATCTCCTGACATAACTATTTACTTCATTTAGTTTATACTATGAGAGTTTCAAATTTCAACCCCAAGGCTAAACTGGCATTCCGTGACATATTACCTGGAAATTATTCTGCATTTTTCTGACATAGCATGGTTAATCATCTAGGTCTGCTGGGGAGATGCCAACTAGTTTCAGTGAAGATGAAACTGCAGCAACCAGTTCTTCCATGGATTGAGAGGAATTCAGCGGCTGATTAATTGTACAGGATTTACACTAGGTAGCAACTGTTGGAAGTTGGGTAGTTGAAACCTAGAAAATTTCTCTGGAATAGAACCAAGGGAGATCCAAAAGGTCTGAAGAGAAAACACAATGGTATTTATTGGATTGCAATTTGTTGTAGTGGAAAAGTATGTCATATGCATGTCACACAAATGGGACCTTGGCACATTGTATTTGTATACGATACCATTGGCCTGAAGCATCAAGACAGCAACTTATAGTTGACCCTCTGGTGAGTTGGGAGTCTTCTCTTCATACCCACTATTTTTTGGCAGGTGTCAAAAACAACGTTTATGGGAGAGAACTGTGACTTGAGGTTTCAACTCATGCTTGGCTTTCTCCTTGTTGATGTATGTGCATATGTTTTTACTGTGGAAAGCGGTACAGAATGCTTTAGCAGATGTAGTTCAGATCCACTGAAGTGTAAATTGAGTTTTATCATGCCATTTCTGCATGTAAATTTCATCTAACCAGCAGCCAGAGAAGATGCAGGCATTTGGCCTGCCAGAAGATTGCATTTGTTTTTTCAAGGACTTGATTTACTGACGTTGGTAGATGTTCCACCAAATTGTAAGGGATGTTCAAATGCAGAGTTACTGCTGTTTTTTGTAGATTTATTGTTAATGTTTATGAGTAAGTGTTAGAATATCATCTTGTAACAGAAAGCATATGAAGTGTCATCAACAGAAGCTTTGAAACTTTCCCGTTAGCTTTGATTCTCATTCTTACTCGGATTTTATTTTAACTGAGGGGTGTCACTTTACTACCCAACTGCAACTATAAATAGTTTCAACTTTCAAATACCCCCCCCCCCCATGAAAAATGCAAACAATGGAAAAAACTAGAAAAAATAATGGAAATAGAGAAACCAAAAAAAAACCAGATTTGTGTTTCGGCTTATATATCCATTATGTAAATGTAATTGAGATTTGAGATATAGAGATGTGCAAACACTTTTTCTCTTTTTATTTCTAAACGACTAAACCCTAAACACCCAAGTTTTCATTCGCAAAATTTGTATTGTCTGAATTATATATATTACTCGGTCAATCCTTAGCCCCAACAATGTAATGGGAATGCATGAAAAACAGTAACCATTACCAAGAAATGCACAACCAAAGCAGTCCCAAATCCCAATGCTGTAAGCCATGACAATGGAATAAAGAGGATAGATCTTGCTTTGCAGTTTGCACCACTCCAAACTGCTTCCTCGGTCGTAGTGTCACCCAAATCTAAATGTGCATCTTATATGCCGAATTGGCATGTGCACAGTGCACCCCACAGAGTACACCCCATGGGGGCCTCACAATCACAGCACATCCCGACCCTGTATTGGAAGCATCTTCCAAGTTCCAATGAATTGGGATCTGCTCCTGTCTTCACAGAGCATGCCTATTGGGAACATTTGGTGTGAGTGTGAATAGCAAATCCGGACAGGACTAGATCTGTTCCAATGATAAGTGCTGGAGATGCGCATATAGGGCGCCTGTGAGATAGATGCCTATGTAAACTATACACCGTGGCAAACTGACCAACCCCATCACGTCAGCACACCCATGACTCATCAACAAAAGGTCTCAACAAAATCACCGCTTCTGGTCGTCGAAGAATTTCTAGTTGTGCTCTGCGATTGGTCAGATGATGCACACTCTTAATTCACTTATTACTCTACAGTCTACAACATCCTTGCCTTTCGATCTCTTCAGCTTTCTTCGCCTTTATCTGCAACTTGAAGTAGAACCAGAGTGTCATTATTGCTGCTTCATGCTCGTTCTATAAACTGCTCTCAGCCCGAATTAAGGCCTTCTTTTGAGATCGTCGCTTTTGATATTTATGGAGCCATTATTATTCGAGGTCATACACTCTAATCGGAGGCTCTCCGTTAGGCACTGAGAAGATCAAACGGCGTTGTACCAGAATCTAAATGAGCCTCTGAATTAAGTCTACTTTGATGACATTAATCCTCTTTCTTTTTGCATTCAAGAATGTAGAAGCTGTGTTGAAACAACTTCAGCTATCCTCTCATGCATCATGACCATCAGGCTCTGAGGAATGGCCCTGCTGGTCCTTTCAGAACCCTATATATGATGGGAGATAATACATGCTGATGCTGGTAGGACATTCATGGTTTCCCATCTTGACAAGGAAACGATATCTAGTCTACCAACAGAACGTTTAGTGGCTCAAACCCAAAACCCAGAAGCTTATTAACAAGGCAATGATCTTGTTGAATGAACCACATTGAGTTGGAGAGAGAGAGAGAGAGATTTCAGTGAAGAGCATTGACAAATTGATTTAAAAGCAGAGTTTCTTTCACTTTTATGTATGTATTAAAAATACACAGTTGATGATTACAATGTACAACTACAAACGCAAACCAAATAAGAAAGAAAAACAGAAAATGGTGATCGATTTACAGTAAAAACACTCGAATCTCTGCTCTCTCCCTTAATCAATGATGATGGGCATATTATATCTGCAGAGAGGACAAGTCATCTTCCGCTCAAGCCACTTCACAATGCAGTGGAGACGAAACGTGTTCTTGCACTCCATCATCCTCCCATGGCTTCCAACCTCCATCTCTTCATGGCATACTCCACAAACCAGCCCAGCCTCCTCAATCGCCACCTTGCTCAGCCCTTCAAATATCGGGTCGGAAGTCTTCTCCAAAAGCTTCCCCAACTCAACCGCAATCTTCAACTCCACCGCCATTAAAGCTCCTCTGTAGTCCCCACCTGGGCCTGCTCTCAGCCTCGCCAGCTCCACCGTTCTTGCACTCAACGCTGCAAACAACACTTCTTCTGGACCCAGTTTCCACGGGACTCCTGGCTGGGGGTGATGTTTCCGTTCAAGCCTGCTTCTGCTTCTCCAGCTTGAGGTCGCACTAAGTTTACCTCCGCCATTTTCCAAGCTCTCCAGAAGTTCTGCCATGGCTTTTGCTATCTGGAATTCGTCGAAACTCGATACATCAATTCTCTCTGCTGAAGAAGAACAACAAGAAACCATAATGGACACAGATTAATCAGACTGAATTAATGGATGGTTTTGAGGTGATGGGTTCTGTAATTTTATTTGTGATCTTAGTTCTACACTTCTACTATGAATAGGAGTTGAGAGGATTTAGAAACAGAGTTACTAAGTTTAACACGCAAGTCACTGGATGCAAGAAAATTAGAATTTCAGGTGTTATATTTGAATTCTAATTCCTGCTACTTTTAATTTTAGAAACTATGTATCAATAAAATAAATATTAAAAAATTTAATTATCATGAATCAAGAGAAAATTGTAATAGTAAACAATTTAAAATTACTAAATTAAAATAAAAAGAAAAAGATTATGTCGGTGTTATAGAAAAGCACCCGGAAATGGAATTACTTTTATCCTGTGACTCCGTGTGGCAGGTCAGTTTTTTAACTGTTTAGGTGAAATGGGTTAATTGTAATTTTTTAAAAAATACTAAAAATTAATTAACATATAGAAAAATAAAAAATTGTAAAAATAAAAATATGTCTCTAATAACAACAACAACAATAATAATAATAATAATATATTTGTTATATTAAAAAATGTGATAAATGAAAATTATTGTTGCCATATTAAACAGTTAAACCGTTTGACTGACAGACCAGGTTATTGGATTGTTGACTTAGTTATACTATTTTGTGAATACTCGGTTTAGGGGCTAGTCAAGACCTGGAATTAAGAATGGCAACGGCGGGGCCGGGTTTTGCCTTCCCGTACCCGACCCCGGATTCAAATTCCCCGACTTTGCCTCGCCCTATTTTGGTCATTTTTACTTGTATATTTATTAATTTTTTTAAATATACCTAGAATTATTTTATGTATAATATAATATAATATATAATATTATAATATATGTTATATAATATAGTCAGGGTGGGGTGGACAAATACCGCCATTGCCCCGTCCCCAACCCTAGAGTTTTGGGTTTTTCCTGAACCCGCACTGAACCCCAATTTGTGGTAAAAAAAACCCCACCTCAATTGGGGTAGAGCCCCACAGGGATGAGTCAATTTGCCATCTCTACCTAGAATCCTAGCCAGATGTTGGCTCAATTGGTCCAACCAATTAGGAGTTAGGTCAGCAGTGGGTTCAAAACATTGTTATAATTGTGTTAATTTTAAGGGTAAATTACATATAGGTAGCTTATACTTTGGGGGTAGTGATAGATAGGTACCTTGAACTTTCAATTGCAATGCTTGAGTACCCGAAACTCTCAAAAATATACACCTGGGTCCATCCGTTAATATTTTGCCAGTTAAACATTACATAATATCAAAAATACCCTTATTGTGTATTTTTTAGATCATTCTACGGAGTAAAATCATCACCAAAAAATGTTGCTATTGGAAATTTGAATATGTTATTTGTTATCCATGAGAAGGGTATTTTTGACATTATATAATGTTTAATTGACGAAATACTAACGGATGGTTGTAAGTGTCTATTTTTGAGAGTTTAGGGTACTCAAGTATTGCAATTGAAAGTTCAAAGTGCCTATCTATCACTACCCCAAAGTATAGGGCACCTATCTATAATTTACCCTAATTTTAATTTTGTAGGTTTAATTGCATAGGGTCAAAGGGTCAAAATAGAAAACACAACTCCAATGTATCCATTTATGTATGATCCGTCCAGTCATGCAAGTTCAACTTGCAAGCAAAATCACATAAATACAAAATCAATATTAAAATTATATCTTAGAAAAATGTATAGCAAATATCTATACTACTATAAAAAGTACAAATAGCCTCTAAAATTTTCGGAATTTTTCTTGACTAAAATATCCCCTTTTTTGAAATATGGTCCCTTTATTGTGAGGGTAAAAATGTAAATTGAATACAATTATTCAATGCATTCAATTCCCTCATTCAATCCTAAATTTAAGGTATTAACTCCCATTCACCCTCATTGAATCATATATTTAAATCATTTTTATTTATTCTCATCACTAAATTCCACTAGTTAAATCCATACATAATAAATTAATAATTTCAATAACAAAAACTTATACTTTTAAAATCTATATGAAAAAAATAATGTTTTTATCTAGGTGGTGGTAAGAAATTAAACCATTTTGGGTCAAATGGGCCAACTCATGTTGCCACAATTAAATAATAAAAAATTCAAAAAAAAAATATATATATATATATATATATAGAAATTAAAGAAAAATTTAGGAACATTTTTAATATCATATATTCAACATATTAAACAATAATAATTATGATAAATAAGAAATAATTTTATTAATTATGGAAATGGAATATAAAATTTAAAACCAATTGGAAATAAAACTGTTTTTCTATTCCCTTCTCTCTCATTAAATCTCATATCTAAATTATATTATCTCATTAAATTCTATATTCGAGATATATTTTTCTCATCATTAAAATCTATAAATTAAATCCACAATATTAATTTTAATAGTATAAAAATAAATATTTTGAAAAATAATTTGAAAACAAAACCATTTTCTTCCCTCTCGATGGTGGGCAAGAAATTCAACCATTTGGCCGGGGTTAAATGAGTTAATCAACAATGCCATAATTTAATAATAAAAAATTAAAATAAATAGAATATAAAATATAGAAAAAATGAAAATAATTGGGCATATCTCTAATATTTTATATTCATTATACTAAACAAAATAAGTATAAAAGATAAGAAGTATTTTTATTAATGATGAAAATAGAATGTCAAATCTAAAACCAACCTAGAAATGAAATGGCATCATAGTCAAAATAATAAAATTTTAAAAATAGAAAATAAAAATAATCACAAAAATAATAAACTAGAGAAAATCGAAAAACCAAACTATTTTCCTTTTTGGATCGTCAGTTGGGTCAAATGGATTAACTGATGATGTCATAGTTAAATAATAAATCTCTAAAAGTAAAAAAAGTACAAATAATGAAAAGAATATAAAATTATAAAAAATGTGTGCACATCTCTAATATATTAATTATATCAAACAAAGATTAAGTGCAATAAGTAAAAATTATTTATATAATGTAGATGAAATATATAATTTAAAATTGATCTAAAAGCAAAGCTATTTTCCTACCTAGATGGTGGGTCAATTATCCAACTTTTCAAATTAACTCATGGTGTCATAATTGAATAATAAATAATTAAAAAAAAAGATAAAACACAAAAAATGAAATAGTATAGAATTTTGTCTAAAACATTTGGGAACATTTCTAATGTTATATGTTATATATTCATCATGTCAAATAAAAATAATTGTTAATTTTTATTTATGATGGAAATAGAATACAAAATTTAATAAATAATAATTTTTATTGTAATTTAAAATTTCCACATGAAGTCAGAATTTTTCGTGTATATTTTACTTTTATTTCATACATACATACATACATACATACATACATACATACATACATACATACATACATACATACATACATACATACATACATACATACATACATANTACATACATACATACATACATACATACATACATACATACATACATACATACATACATACATACATACATACATACATACATACATACATATATGTGCATATAGTATATTTATTTATACTATTAAAAGTACCAATGAGGGCGTGGAACTTTACTAAACTACCCCTATTTTTTAATTTAGTCCCTCTTTAACTCTAAGAGCTAATAATGTAATATCATTTATAATTTTTCACCTTATTTAGTTCACTCTCATTATGTCTTATATTTAAGGTATTAACTCAAATTCTCTCCATTAAATCTTGTATTTAAGATATTTTTTATCTAATAATTCTAATAATTAGATCTTTATCAAATACAAAAATAATTTTTAACAATAAGAAACCCATGTTTTTAAAGGGTAAAATGCTAAAACGTCCCCTGAAGTTTCTAACCATTGCTGAAAGCCTCCCCTAAAGTTTGGTAATTGCAATCACCTCTCTTGAACTTAAACATAGTTGCAAGTATAATCTTCCTCTTATAATACTCTAACATGAGGCATGTAAATGTCCAAAATAACCATGTAGTTACTTTGACTAAAATGTTTATTTTCCAAGTTTTCCCTTAATATCAATTACTACCCCAAACCCTTCCAATATTTTCCAAAATTGATTTATTGTATAAATTTTACTTTCATATGAATCACTCAAAGGTAAAGTTGCAATTTTAAACTTTTTTTGTTGTTTAAATTTTGTATTGTTTGCTATGCAAAAATTAGACTCAATAATAACTACATGGGTATTTTGGACATTTGTGTGCCTCTTGTTAGAGGATTCTAAGAGGGGGTCTACTTGCAACTATATTAGAAAATTTAAGGGAGGCGATTGAAATTACCAAACTTCTGGAGAGATTTCAGCAACGGTTAGAAACTTTAGGGGAGGTTTCAGTAAGTTACCTTTTTTCAAATTAACAAAAAAAAAAAAAACCAAAACCATTCTTCCATCTAAGTGGTGGGTAAGCCAATTCAACCTTTAGGGCCAATTGGGTGAATCCATGATATCATAGCTAAATAAAAAATGTAGATAAAATTGTTAATTTCTCTAATATTTTATATTAATCATATTAAAGAAAAAAGTGTCATAAACAAAAATTATTTTCATTGATAATCCAAATGAAATACAAATTTTAAAACCAACAAAAAAATGAAATTGATTTCCTATTTGGTCTAGGTCAACAGTTCAACTTTTAGGTCAAATGTGTCAATATTTGACATCATAATTAAATAATAAAAATTAAAAAACATGATAGAAATGAAAAAATGAAAAAAATACATAAATTTTGCAAAAAAAAAAATCATTTGGGCGCATCTCTAATATTGTATATTCATCATATTAAACAAAAACAAGTGTCATAAATAAGGATTATTTTTATACACATGGAAATATAAAAAATGTTAAAAATATAATTTGAATTTAGTCTCTTGCTAATTGTGAGGATAAAAATTGTAATTTGAACTATTATTTTTAACCTCATTCAAATCCCTCTCATTAAGTC